CTACCAAACACAGATTTCCTTACTCTTTGTGCTAAGTGTACCCCCCCCCCCCCCCCACCCTACCCCCCGGTGTTCTGCAGGCTCTGGAGCCTCCTCGACCACACCCTGCTGGCTCGCTGCAACATGGAGGAGTCGGTCCGCAGCGTCTCCTTCAACAACGACGGCTCTCAGCTGGCTCTGGGCATGAAGGACGGATCCTTCACCGTGCTGCGTGTCAGGTGAGTGGTCCACAGGTGAGATGTAGCCACGCCCACTTCAACGTAGCTCTGCTGACTGCGTCCTGGATCCATAAAGAGAACCAAGATAACATGCTGGAGTTACAGTATATCAAATTCAAATGTTCAAGATTCAAAGGTGTTCTCATCAGATGCCCAGCAGCTACAGTGTAGGAATGACATTCTTCTGAGCTGAGCTCCTCCAACGAAGCAACATATATAATAACATACAAAAATACAAAGTAGTGCAACAAGTCTATATACACGTAAAGAGAATATGATATGTACAAGAACAGAATATGAAATTAAATAATGTAAATTCAGACTACATTAAATACGGTTTATTGCCGTGATAAATAGTTATATAAATAAGTAGATAGCAAGAAGACATACAGATGAATGACCTGTAGCTCGGGGAGAAACAGGTACAATTGTTAAAATAGTGCAAGTAAATACAAATAAAATAGAGTAGTGCAAGGAGAGTCTATACACAAGTGATTGGAATATGATATATTAGATACATAATTTGTAAGTAGCAGCCAGATGAATGTTATGGGTGTTCTTTCAAAAGTTCAGGTTTTGAGCAGATGAGGATGAAACTCCCTGAGTCTCTATGTGTTAATGGGATTCAAGCAAAAAAAGTCTCTTACATTTAAGTTAAGAGAAACTACGAAAAGTACACTCCAGACGCTCTTGATCTTAAAAATGTGCTGTTATGGATGTTCTTTCAAAAGTTCAGTGTTCTAGGACCTGGGATCAAGGTTCTTTAATCTCCTTTGTCTTCAGGGACATGACGGAGGTGGTGCACATCAAGGACAGGAAGGAGGTGATCCACGAGCTGAAGTTCTCCCCCGACGGCTCCTTCCTGGCGGTGGGGTCTAACGACGGGCTAGTGGACGTGTACGCCGTGGCGCAGCGCTACAAGAAGGTGGGCGAGTGCAGCCGCTCCGCCTCCTTCATCACGCACCTGGACTGGGCTGTGGATAGCCGCTTCCTGATGACCAACGACGGGGCCGGGGAGCGGCTCTTCTACAGGATGCCAGGTAACAGCTCTCTGATCTCACCTGTCTGACCTGGACTCACCTGTCTGATCTGGACTCACCTATCTGACCTGGGCTTACCTGTCTGATCTGGACTCACCTGTCTGACCTGGACTCACCTGGACTCACCTGTCTGATCTGGACTCACCTATCTGACCTGGACTCACCTGGACTCACCTGTCTGACCTGGGCTCACCTGTCTGATCTGGACTCACCTGTCTGATCTGGACTCACCTATCTGTCTGACCTGGACTATCTAGACTAGGACTTGATTAAGAACTGCCCTCTCTAGACTAGGACCTGATTAAGAACTGCCCTCTCTAGACTAGGACTTGATTAAGAACTGCCCTCTCTGGACTAGGACCTGATTAAGAACTGCCCTCTCTAGACTAGGACTTGATTAAGAACTGCCCTCTCTGGACTAGGACTTGATTAAGAACTGCCCTCTTTGGACTAGGACCTGATTAAGAACTGCCCTCTCTAGACTAGGACTTGATTAAGAACTGCCCTCTCTAGACTAGGACTTGATTAAGAACTGCCCTCTCTGGACTAGGACTTGATTAAGAACTGCCCTCTTTGGACTAGGACCTGATTAAGAACTGCCCTCTCTAGACTAGGACTTGATTAAGAACTGCCCTCTCTGGACTAGGACTTGATTAAGAACTGCCCTCTCTAGACTAGGACTTGATTAAGAACTGCCCTCTCTGGACTAGGACCTGATTAAGAACTGCTCTCTCTAGACTAGGACTTGATTAAGAACTGTCCTCTCTAGACTAGGACTTGATTAAGAACTGCCCTCTCTGGACTAGGGCTTGCTTAAGAACTGCCCTCTCTAGACTTGATTAAGAACGGCCCTCTCTAGACTAGGACTTGATTAAGAACTCTCCTCCCTAGACTAGGACTTGCTTAAGAACTGTCCTCTCTAGACTAGGACTTGATTAATAACTGTCCTCTCTAGACTTGATTAAGAACTGCCCTCTCTGGACTAGGACTTGATTAAGAACTCTCCTCCCTAGACTAGGGCTTGATTAAGAACTGTGCTCTCTAGACTTGATTAAGAACTGCCCTCTCTGGACTAGGGCTTGATTAAGAACTCTCCTCCCTAGACTAGGGCTTGATTAAGAACTGTCCTCTCTAGACAAGGACTTGATTAAGAACTGCCCTCTCTGGACTAGGACTTGATTAAGAACTGCCCTCTCTAGACTAGGACTTGATTAAGAACTGCCCTCTCTAGACTAGGACTTGATTAAGAACTTCCCTCTCTGCACTAGGACTTTTTACTGCCCTTTACTAGGGCCTAACATGTCTAGATTTGGGACTCGTCTTGGCAATTCCTTGTTTAGACTCCAATTTATGCTAAGATTGACCTGTAAAGACTTAAGACCAGACTTGGGACTAACCTTTTAGGACTTCCTATTGACTTCTTGACCTCCTGACCACGTCTTGAACCCCTGACTAACTCCTGACCTCCTGACCACCTCTTGACCTCCTAACCACTTGACCTCCTGACCACCTCTTGACCTCCTGACCACCTGACCTCCTGACCACCTCTTGACCTCCTGACCACCACTTGACCCCCTGACCACCTATTGACCTCCTGACCACCTGAGCTCCTGACCACCTCTTGACCTCCTAACCACTTGACCTCCTGACCACCTGACCTCCTGACCTCTTGAGCTCCTGACCACCTCTTGAACGCTTGAGCTCCTGACCACCTGACCACCTCTTGACCTCCTGACCTCCTGACCACCTCTTAACCTCCTGACCACCTCTTGAACGCTTGAGCTCCTGATCACCTGACCACCTCTTGACCTCCTGACCACCTCTTGAACGCTTGAGCTCCTGATCACCTGACCACCTCTTAACCTCCTGACCACCTCTTGAACGCTTGAGCTCCTGATCACCTGACAACCTCTTGACCTCCTGACCACCTCTTGACCTCCTGACCACCTCTTGACCTCCTGACAACCTCCTGACCACCTCTTGACCTCTTGACCACCTCTTGACCTCCTGTCCACCCCCTGACCACCTCTTGACCCCCTGACCACCTCTTGACCCCCTGACCACCTCTTGACCCCCTGACCACCTCTTGACCCCCTGACCACCTCCTGACCTCCTGGCCACCTCTTGACCTCCTGACCACCTCCTGACCTCCTGGCCACCTCTTGACCTCCTGACCTCCTCTTGACCTTCCGACCTCCTAACCTCTTGACCTCCTGGCTACCTCTTGACCTCCTGACCTCTTGACCTCCTGGCCACCTCTTGACCTTCTGACCTCCTAACCTCCTGACCTCCTGACCCTCTGTGTCCTGCAGCAGGGAAGCTGGTCCCCAGAGAGGAGGCGAAGGGGATCCATTGGATGACATGGACCGGCGTCATCGGGCTGGAGGTGAACGGGATCTGGCCCAAATACTCCACGGTCAGCAACGTGAACTCTGTGGACGCAAACTACAGCAGCGCGGCGCTGGTGACGGGAGACGACCTGGGCCTCGTCAAGCTCTTCAGGTTCCCCTGCCTCAAGAAAGGTCAGGAACCTTTACTGGTCTCTCTGTCTCTAAACAACGTCTCTGCTCTGGGGGACTTCTTCCTGTCTCTCTGTCTCTAAACAACGTCTCTGCTCTGGGGGACTTCTTCCTGTCTCTCTGTCTCTAAACAACGTCTCTGCTCTGGGGGACTTCTTCCTGTCTCTCTGTCTCTAAACAACGTCTCTGCTCTGGGGGACTTCTTCCTGTCTCTCTGTCTCTAAACAACGTCTCTGCTCTGGAGGACTTCTTCCTGTCTCTCTGTCTCTAAACAACGTCTCTGCTCTGGGGGACTTCTTCCTGTCTCTCTGTCTCTAAACAACGTCTCTGCTCTGGGGGACTTCTTACTGTCTCTCTGTCTCTAAACAACGTCTCTGCTCTGGGGGACTTCTTCCTGTCTCTCTGTCTCTAAACAACGTCTCTGCTCTGGGGGACTTCTTCCTGTCTCTCTGTCTCTAAACAACGTCTCTGCTCTGGGGGACTTCTTCCTGTCTCTCTGTCTCTAAACAACGTCTCTGCTCTGGGGGACTTCTTCCTGTCTCTCTGTCTCTAAACAACGTCTCTGCTCTGGGGGACTTCTTCCTGTCTCTCTGTCTCTAAACAACGTCTCTGCTCTGGGGGACTTCTTCCTGTCTCTCTGTCTCTAAACAACGTCTCTGCTCTGGGGGACTTCTTCATGTCTCTCTGTCTCTAAACAACGTCTCTGCTCTGGGGGACTTCTTCCTGTCTCTCTGTCTCTAAACAACGTCTCTACTCTGGGGGACTTCTTCCTGTCTCTCTGTCTCTAAACAACGTCTCTGCTCTGGGGGACTTCTTCCTGTCTCTCTGTCTCTAAACAACGTCTCTGCTCTGGGGGACTTCTTCCTGTCTCTCTGTCTCTAAACAACGTCTCTGCTCTGGGGGACTTCTTCCTGTCTCTCTGTCTCTAAACAACGTCTCTGCTCTGGGGGACTTCTTCCTGTCTCTCTGTCTCTAAACAACGTCTCTGCTCTGGGGGACTTCTGACTGTCTCTCTGTCTCTAAACAACGTCTCTGCTCTGGGGGACTTCTTCCTGTCTCTCTGTCTCTAAACACCGTCTCTGCTCTGGGGGACTTCTTACTGTCTCTCTGTCTCTAAACAACGTCTCTGCTCTGGGGGACTTCTTCCTGTCTCTCTGTCTCTAAACAACGTCTCTGCTCTGGGGGACTTCTGACTATCTCTCTGTCTCTAAACAACGTCTCTGCTCTGGGGGACTTCTTCCTGACTCTCTGTCTCTAAACAACGTCTCTGCTCTGGGGGACTTCTTCCTGTCTCTCTGTCTCTAAACAACGTCTCTGCTCTGGGGGACTTCTTCCTGTCTCTCTGTCTCTAAACAACGTCTCTGCTCTGGCGGACTTCTTCCTGTCTCTCTGTCTCTAAACAACGTCTCTGCTCTGGGGGACTTCTTCCTGTCTTTCTGTCTCTAAACAACGTCTCTGCTCTGGCGGACTTCTTCCTGTCTCTCTGTCTCTAAACAACGTCTCTGCTCTGGGGGACTTCTTCCTGTCTCTCTGTCTCTAAACAACGTCTCTGCTCTGGGGGACTTCTTCCTGACTCTCTGTCTCTAAACAACGTCTCTGCTCTGGGGGACTTCTTACTGTCTCTCTGTCTCTAAACAACGTCTCTGCTCTGGGGGACTTCTTCCTGTCTCTCTGTCTCTAAACAACGTCTCTGCTCTGGGGGACTTCTTCCTGTCTCTCTGTCTCTAAACAACGTCTCTGCTCTGGGGGACTTCTTACTGTCTCTCTGTCTCTAAAACAACGTCTCTGCTCTGGGGGGACTTCTTCCTGTCTCTCTGTCTCGAAACAACGTCTCTGCTCTGGGGGACTTCTTCCTGTCTCTCTGTCTCTAAACAACGTCTCTGCTCTGGGGGACTTCTGACATTCTCTCTGTCTCTAAACAACGTCTCTGCTCTGGGGGACTTCTTCCTGTCTCTCTGTCTCTAAACAACGTCTCTGCTCTGGGGGACTTCTTCCTGTCTCTCTGTCTCTAAACAACGTCTCTGCTCTGGGGGACTTCTTACTGTCTCTCTGTCTCTAAACAACGTCTCTGCTCTGGGGGACTTCTTCATGTCTCTCTGTCTCTAAACAACGTCTCTGCTCTGGGGGACTTCTTCATGTCTCTCTGTCTCTGAACAACGTCTCTGCTCTGGGGGACTTCTTCATGTCTCTCTGTCTCTAACAACGTCTCTGCTCTGGGGGACTTCTTCCTGTCTCTCTGGTCTCTAAACAAACGTCTCTGCTCTGGAGGACTTCTTCCTGTCTCTCTGTCTCTAAACAACGTCTCTGCTCTGGGGGGACTTCTTTCCTGTCTCTCTGTCTCTAAACAACGTCTCTGCTCTGGGGGACTTCTTCCTGTCTCTCTGTCTCTAAACAACGTCTCTGCTCTGGGGGACTTCTTACTGTCTCTCTGTCTCTAAACAACGTCTCTGCTCTGGGGGACTTCTTCCTGTCTCTCTGTCCTCTAAACAACGTCTCTGCTCTGGGGGGACTTCTTACTGTCTCTCTGTCTCTAAACAACGTCTCTGCTCTGGGGGACTTCTTCCTGTCTCTCTGTCTCTAAACAACGTCTCTGCTCTGGGGACTTCTTCCTGTTCTCTCTGTCTCTAAACAACGTCTCTGCTCTGGGGACTTCTTTCCTGTCCTCTCTGTCGGGTCTTCTAAACAACGTCTCTCTGCTCTGGGGGACTTCTTACTGTCTCTCTGTCTCTAAACAACGTCTCTGCTCTGGGGGACTTCTGACTGTCTCTCTGTCTCTAAACAACGTCTCTGCTCTGGGGGACTTCTTCATGTCTCTCTGTCTCTGAACAACGTCTCTGCTCTGGGGGACTTCTTCATGTCTCTCTGTCTCTAAACAAGGTCTCTGCTCTGGGGGACTTCTTCCTGTCTCTCTGTCTCTTAACAACGTCTCTGCTCTGGAGGACTTCTTCCTGTCTCTCTGTCTCTAAACAACGTCTCTGCTCTGGGGGACTTCTTCCTGTCTCTCTGTCTCTAAACAACGTCTCTGCTCTGGGGGACTTCTTACTGTCTCTCTGTCTCTAAACAACGTCTCTGCTCTGGGGGACTTCTTCCTGTCTCTCTGTCTCTAAACAACGTCTCTGCTCTGGGGGACTTCTTCCTGTCTCTCTGTCTCTAAACAACGTCTCTGCTCTGGAGGACTTCTTTCCTGTCTCTCTGTCTCTAAACAACGTCTCTGCTCTGGGGGACTTCTTACTGTCTCTCTGTCTCTAAACAACGTCTCTGCTCTGGGGGACTTCTTCCTGTCTCTCTGTCTCTAAAACAACGTCTCTGCTCTGGGGGACTTCTTCCTGTCTCTCTGTCTCTAAACAACGTCTCTGCTCTGGGGGACTTCTTCCTGTCTCTCTGTCTCTAAACAACGTCTCTGCTCTGGGGGACTTCTTCCTGACTCTCTGTCTCTAAACAACGTCTCTGCTCTGGGGGACTTCTTCCTGTCTCTCTGTCTCTAAACAACGTCTCTGCTCTGGGGGACTTCTTCCTGTCTCTCTGTCTCTAAACAACGTCTCTGCTCTGGGGGACTTCTTCCTGTCTCTCTGTCTCTAAACAACGTCTCTTGCTCTGGGGGACTTCTTCCTGTCTCTCTGTCTCTAAACAACGTCTCTGCTCTGGAGGACTTCTTCCTGTCTCTCTGTCTCTAAACAACGTCTCTGCTCTGGGGGACTTCTTCCTGTCTCTCTGTCTGCTAAACAACGTCTCTGCTCTGGGGGACTTCTTCCTGTCTCTCTGTCTCTAAACAACGTCTCTGCTCTGGGGGACTTCTTCCTGTCTCTCTGTCTCTAAACAACGTCTCTGCTCTGGGGGACTTCTTCCTGACTCTCTGTCTCTAAACAACATCCTCTGCTCTGGGGGACTTCTTCCTGTCTCTCTGTCTCTAAACAACGTCTCTGCTCTGGGGGACTTCTTCCTGTCTCTCTGTCTCTAAACAACGTCTCTGCTCTGGGGGACTTCTTCCTGTCTCTCTGTCTCTAAACAACGTCTCTGCTCTGGGGACTTCTTCCTGACTCTCTGTCTCTAAACAACGTCTCTGCTCTGGGGGACTTCTGACTGTCTCTCTGTCTCTAAACAACGTCTCTGCTCTGGGGGACTTCTTCCTGTCTCTCTGTCTCTAAACAAACGTCTCTGCTCTGGGGGACTTCTTACTGTCTCTCTGTCTCTAAACAACGTCTCTGCTCTGGGGGACTTTCTTCCTGTCTCTCTGTCTCTAAACAACCGTCTCTGCTCTGGGGGACTTCTTACTGTCTCTCTGTCTCTAAACAACGTCTCTGCTCTGGGGGACTTCTTCCTGTCTCTCTGTCTCCTAAACAACGTCTCTGCTCTGGGGGACTTTCTTCCTGACTCTCTGTCTCTAAACAACGTCTCTGCTCTGGGGGACTTCTTCCTGTCTCTCTGTCTCTAAACAACGTCTCTGCTCTGGGGGACTTCTTACTGTCTCTCTGTCCTCTAAACAACGTCTCTGCTCTGGGGGACTTCTTACTGTCTCTCTGTCTCTAAACAACGTCTCTGCTCTGGTGGGACTTCTTCCTGTCTCTCTGTCTCTAAACAACGTCTCTGCTCTGGGGGACTTACTTCCTGTCTCTCTGTCTCTAAACAACGTCTCTGCTCTGGGGGACTTCTTCCTGTCTCTCTGTCTCTAAACAACGTCTCTGCTCTGGGGGACTTCTTCCTGTCTCTCTGTCTCTAAACCAACGTCTCTGCTCTGGGGGACTTTCTTCCTGTCTCTCTGTCCTCTAAACAACGTCTCTGCTCTGGGGGACTTCTTCCTGGACTCTCTGTCTCTAACAACGTCTCTGCTCTGGGGACTTCTTCCTGTCTCTCTATCTCTAAACAACGTCCTGCTCTGGGGGACTTCTTCCTGTCTCTCTGTCTCTAAACAACGTCTCTGCTCTGGGGGACTTCTTCCTGTCTCTCTGTCTCTAAACAACGTCTCTGCTCTGGGGGACTTCTTCCTGTCTCTCTGTCTCTAAACAACGTCTCTGCTCTGGGGGACTTCTTCCTTGTCTCTCTGTCTCTAAAACAACGTCTCTGGCTCTGGGGGACTTCTTCCTGTCTCTCTGTCTCTAAACAACGTCTCTGCTCTGGGGGGACTTCTTCCTGTCTCCTCTGTCTCTAAACAACGTCTCTGCTCTGGGGGACTTCTTACTGTCTCTCTGTCTCTAAACAACGTCTCTGCTCTGGGGGACTTCTGACTGTCTCTCTGTCTCTAAACAACGTCTCTGCTCTGGGGGACTTCTTCATGTCTCTCTGTCTCTGAACAACGTCTCTGCTCTGGGGGACTTCTTCATGTCTCTCTGTCTCTGAACAACGTCTCTGCTCTGGAGGACTTCTTCCTGACTCTCTGTCTCTAAACAACGTCTCTGCTCTGGGGGACTTCTTCATGTCTCTCTGTCTCTGAACAACGTCTCTGCTCTGGAGGACTTCTTCCTGTCTCTCTGTCTCTAAACAACGTCTCTGCTCTGGGGGACTTCTGACTGTCTCTCTGTCTCTAAACAACGTCTCTGCTCTGGGGGACTTCTTCATGTCTCTCTGTCTCTGAACAACGTCTCTGCTCTGGAGGACTTCTTCCTGACTCTCTGTCTCTAAACAACGTCTCTGCTCTGGGGGACTTCTTACTGTCTCTCTGTCTCTAAACAACGTCTCTGCTCTGGGGGACTTCTTCCTGTCTCTCTGTCTCTAAACAACGTCTCTGCTCTGGGGGACTTCTTACTGTCTCTCTGTCTCTAACAACGTCTCTGCTCTGGGGGACTTCTTACTGTCTCTCTGTCTCTAAACAACGTCTCTGCTCTGGGGGACTTCTTCCTGACTCTCTATCTCTAAACAACGTCTCTGCTCTGGGGGACTTCTTCCTGACTCTCTGTCTCTAAACAACGTCTCTGCTCTGGGGGACTTCTTCCTGACTCTCTGTCTCTAAACAACGTCTCTGCTCTGGGGGACTTCTTCCTGTCTCTCTGTCTCTAAACAACGTCTCTGCTCTGGGGGACTTCTTCCTGTCTCTCTGTCTCTAAACAACGTCTCTGCTCTGGGGGACTTCTTCCTGACTCTCTGTCTCTAAACAACGTCTCTCCTCTGGGGTACTTCTTCCTGTCTCTCTGTCTCTAAACAACGTCTCTGCTCTGGGGTACTTCTTCCTGTCTCTCTGTCTCTAAACAACGTCTCTGCTCTGGGGGACTTCTTCCTGACTCTCTTTCTCTAAACAACGTCTCTGCTCTGGGGGACTTCTTCCTGTCTCTCTGTCTCTAAACAACGTCTCTCCTCTGTAAACTCTTTGGTTTTCGTCCTCTAACAGGAGCTAAATTTAAGAAGTACATTGGTCACTCGGCCCATGTAACGAACGTGCGCTGGTCCAACGACCTGCAGTGGGTGGTCAGCACCGGGGGGGCCGACCACGCCGTGTTCCAGTGGAGGTTCCTGCCCGAGGGCGTGATGAACGGCGTGCTGGAGCCCCTGCTGCAAGGTCAACGAGCATCTATGAGCTTTGCTTTTTCACAATATCTTTATTGGTATTTTCTTATTTAACAACAACCAAAAACCGTACCTCACAGACACACACACACACACACACACATACACACGCACACGCGCACTCACACACACAACACACGCACACAGACACACACGCGCTCACACACGCACGCACGCACGCACACACACACACAACACACGCACGCGCGCACTCACACACACAACACACGCACACAGACACACACACGCTCACACATGCACGCGCACACACACACACACACACACACATACACACGCACGCGCGCACTCACACACACGCACACACAACACACACAGACACGCACACACACACAAACACACGCACACACACACACACGCACACAGACACACACACACGCACACACACGCACGCACACAGACACACACACAGACAGACACGCACACACACCATAACCTGGCCCCATCCTACCTGTCTGACCTCCTCCACAGACACACTCCCACTCGCTCCCTCCGCTCTGCTACTACAGCAGCTGATTGGTCCTCGCATGTTGCCCTGATAGTTCCTGTATCAGCTGCTGATTGGTCCTCGCTTGTTACCCTGATAGTTCCTGTATCAGCAGCTGATTGGTCCTCGCTTGTTGCCCTGATAGTTCCTGTATCAGCAGCTGATTGGTCCTCGCTTGTTGCCCTGATAGTTCCTGTATCAGCAGCTGATTGGTCCTTGCATGTTCCCCTGATAGTTCCTGTATCAGCTGCTGATTGGTCCTCGCATGTTCCCCTGATAGTTCCTGTATCAGCAGCTGATTGGTCCTTCGCTTGTTGCCCTGATAGTTCCTGTATCAGCTGCTGATTGGTCCTCGCATGTTGCCCTGATAGTTCCTGTATCAGCAGCTGATTGGTCCTCTCTTGTTGCCCTGATAGTTCCTGTATCAGCAGCTGATTGGTCCTCGCTTGTTGCCCTGATAGTTCCTGTATCAGCAGCTGATTGGTCCTCTCTTGTTGCCCTGATAGTTCCTGTATCAGCAGCTGATTGGTCCTTCGCTTGTTGCCCTGATAGTTCCTGTATCAGCTGCTGATTGGTCCTCGCTTGTTGCCCTGATAGTTCCTGTATCAGCAGCTGATTGGTCCTTGCATGTTCCCCTGATAGTTCCTGTATCAGCAGCTGATTGGTCCTTGCATGTTCCCCTGATAGTTCCTGTATCAGCAGCTGATTGGTCCTTCGCTTGTTGCCCTGATAGTTCCTGTATCAGCAGCTGATTGGTCCTTGCATGTTCCCCTGATAGTTCCTGTATCAGCAGCTGATTGGTCCTTGCATGTTCCCCTGATAGTTCCTGTATCAGCAGCTGATTGGTCCTCGCTTGTTGCCCTGATAGTTCCTGTATCAGCAGCTGATTGGTCCTCGCTTGTTGCCCTGATAGTTCCTGTATCAGCAGCACATGGTGTGTAGTCAGATCTAACAGCTCCTGTTCTCACTCAAGTGTTTCTGCGTTCAGAGGGCTACGCCGACTCCAATAGCGGAGAGTCGGACTCGGACGTGTCGGACGTCCCGGAGCTCGACTCGGACATCGAGCAGGAAGCTCAGACCAGCTACGAACGTCAGGTGACCAGAGACAACCAATCACATGCTGTCTGCTTAGTAATAATAATAATACATTTCATTCATATAACACAGTTTAAAAACAACGTCATCTCAAGGTGCTTCACAATGCTATGAGGAGAAAATACAGTAACATTTAAAGTTATCTAAGGAACATATTGAATCAAATATGGTCATATAAAAAAGGTTAGGAACATAAAAGGTTAGAATAAAAAAAATAAAGAAACCTTACCTGTCTGTCTGACTCACCTACCTCATCTACCTGTGTGTGTGCAGGTGTATAAGGAGGACCTACCTCAGCTGAGGAAGAAGCTGATTGGTTCTCTGAAGCGCCAGAAGGCTCCGGAGGAGGGGCTTCGTCTGCAGTTTGTTCACGGGTAACAACAATAAAGTTTTTTTCAGGAACTAAAGGAAAGAGTTTTTGTTGTTGTAATGCTCGTTTCAGCCACAGGAGGCTGCAGCACCACCCCACGACAGAGTCCTGCATCGGGTCGGGTACCCCCGCGGCACCGCGCATAATCATAACCTCTGCAGCGCATCAATCTGCTGCTGAGCGCCACATTTGAAATGGCTGAGGTGAAGCTCTCTAGCGGAGAATACAGCATCGTAAATAACTCTTCCTCAAGAGCGAAATCCAACGTCTGGAGGCTTTTGGTTCCTAGATGAGAAAATAACCAACATCCCACGCTTTTTGAGACAAATATGCACCTGCGTGTGTTAATAATTGCACGTTTTCACTGCTCATATATATGCGGGTTCGGGTCGGGTTGCGGATCTTGTGCCGACGGGTCGCGGAACTAATTGGCAATATGTGCGGGTAGCGGGGCGGGTTCGGTGTTACACGTCGCGGGGGCGGGAGCGGGTCTTGAAAATCAGACCCGTGCAGGACTCTGCCCCACGATCTAATCCATATTCTAAAAGCATTTTAAGAAACTCACAATCCTTAAATTCAGCCGCTGTAATCTGCTGCTTGTTATGTGGTCTTTTCAGCCTCTTGTGGCCAAAGTCAGTATTACAACAACAACATTAGAAGAATTATCCTGACAAGATACATGTATAAAAAGAACCACCAGAAGTGTTGAAAGTGATGTGTTGTTGTGGCTCCTCAGGTACCGGGGCTTTGACTGCAGGAACAACCTGTTCTACAGCCAGACAGGGGAGCTGCTGTTCCACGTGGCTGCGGTCGCTGTGGTGTACGACCGCCTGAAGCACAGCCAGAGGTTCTACCTGGGCCACGACGAGGACATCCTCTGCCTCACCACGCACCCCATCAAGGACTACGCTGCCTCCGCTCAGGTACAGCCAATCACAGACTACGCTGCCTCCGCTCAGGTACAGCCAATCACAGACTGCGCTGCCTCCGCTCAGGTACAGCCAATCACAGACTGCGCTGCCTCTGCTCAGGTACAGCCAATCACAGCCAATCACAGACTACGCTGCCTCCGCTCAGGTACAGACAATCACAGCCAATCACAGACTACGCTGCCTCTGCTCAGGTACAGCCAATCACAGCCAATCACAGACTACGCTGCCTCCACTCAGGTACAGACAATCACAGCCAATCACAGACTACGCTGCCTCCGCTCAGGTACAGCCAATCACAGGGCAGCACTGACAGGGCTTCTGACTGGTGTGTTCAGGTGTGCTCTGATTGGCTGTGTGTTCAGATGTGCTCTGATTGGCTGTGTGTGTGTTCTGATTGGCTGTGTGTGTGTTCAGGTGTTCTGATTGGCTGTGTGTGTGTTCAGATGTGTTCTGATTGGCTGTGTGTTCAGGTGTGCTCTGATTGGCTGTGTGTTCAGATGTGTTCTGATTGGCTGTGTGTTCAGGTGTGTTCTGATTGGCTGTGTGTTCAGATGTGTTCTGATTGGCTGTGTGTTCAGGTGTGCTCTGATTGGCTGTGTGTTCTGATTGGCTGTGTGTGTGTTCAGGTGTGTTCTGATTGGCTGTGTGTGTGTTCAGGTGTGTTCTGATTGGCTGTGTGTTCTGATTGGCTGTGTGTTCAGCTGTGTTCTGATTGGCTGTGTGTTCTGATTGGCTTTGTGTTCAGGTGTGTTCTGATTGACTGTGTGTTAAGATGTGTTCAGATTGGCTGTGTGTTTAGGTGTGTTCTGATTGGCTGTGTGTTCAGCTGTGTTCTGATTGTCTGTGTGTTCTGATTGGCTTTGTGTTCAGGTGTGTTCTGATTGGCTGTGTGTTCAGGTGTGCTCTGATTGGCTGTGTGTTCGGATTGGCTGTGTGTTCAGCTGTGTTCTGATTGTCTGTGTGTTCTGATTGGCTGTGTGTTCAGGTGTGCTCTGATTGGCTGTGTGTTCGGATTGGCTGTGTGTTCAGCTGTGTTCTGATTGTCTGTGTGTTCTGATTGGCTGTGTGTTCAGATGTGTTCTGATTGGCTGTGTGTTCAGGTGTGCTCTGATTGGCTGTGTGTTCTGATTGGCTGTGTGTTCAGCTGTGTTCTGATTGGCTGTGTGTTCAGGTGTGCTCTGATTGGCTGTGTGTTCAGGTGTGCTCTGATTGGCTGTGTGTTCTGATTGGCTGTGTGTTCAGCTGTGTTCTGATTGGCTGTGTGTTCAGATGTGTTCTGATTGGCTGTGTGTTCAGGTGTGTTCTGATTGGCTGTGTGTTCAGCTGTGTTCTGATTGTCTGTGTGTTCTGATTGGCTGTGTGTTCAGGTGTGCTCTGATTGGCTGTGTGTTCGGATTGGCTGTGTGTTCAGCTGTGTTCTGATTGTCTGTGTGTTCTGATTGGCTGTGTGTTCAGATGTGTTCTGATTGGCTGTGTGTTCAGGTGTGCTCTGATTGGCTGTGTGTTCTGATTGGCTGTGTGTTCAGCTGTGTTCTGATTGGCTGTGTGTTCAGGTGTGCTCTGATTGGCTGTGTGTTCAGGTGTGCTCTGATTGGCTGTGTGTTCTGATTGGCTGTGTGTTCAGCTGTGTTCTGATTGGCTGTGTGTTCAGATGTGTTCTGATTGGCTGTGTGTTTAGGTGTGTTCTGATTGACTGTGTGTTCAGATGTGTTCTGATTGGCTGTGTGTTCAGCTGTGTTCTGATTGGCTGTGTGTTCAGATGTGTTCTGATTGGCTGTGTGTTTAGGTGTGTTCTGATTGACTGTGTGTTCAGATGTGTTCTGATTGGCTGTGTGTTCAGATGTGTTCTGATTGGCTGTGTGTTCAGATGTGTTCAGATTGGCTGTGTGTTCAGATGTGTTCTGATTGGCTGTGTGTTCAGGTGTCTTCTGATTGACTGTGTGTTCTGATTGGCTGTGTGTTCAGATGTGTTCTGATTGGCTGTGTGTTCAGATCTGTTCAGATTGGCTGTGTGTTCAGGTGTGTTCTGATTGACTGTGTGTTCTGATTGGCTGTGTGTTCTGATTGGCTGTGTGTTCAGCTGTGTTCTGATTGGCTGTGTGTTTAGGTGTGTTCTGATTGACTGTGTGTTCTGATTGGCTGTGTGTTCAGATGTGTTCTGATTGGCTGTGTGTTCAGATGTGTTCTGATTGGCTGTGTGTTCAGGTGTCTTCTGATTGACTGTGTGTTCTGATTGGCTGTGTGTTCAGATGTGTTCAGATTGGCTGTGTGTTCAGATGTGTTCTGATTGGCTGTGTGTTCAGGTGTCTTCTGATTGACTGTGTGTTCTGATTGGCTGTGTGTTCAGATGTGTTCTGATTGGCTGTGTGTTCAGATCTGTTCAGATTGGCTGTGTGTTCAGGTGTGTTCTGATTGACTGTGTGTTCTGATTGGCTGTGTGTTCTGATTGGCTGTGTGTTCAGATCTGTTCTGATTGGCTGTGTGTTCAGGTGTGTTCTGATTGACTGTGTGTTCTGATTGGCTGTGTGTTCTGATTGGCTGTGTGTTCAGCTGTGTTCTGATTGGCTGTGTGTTCAGGTGTGTTCTGATTGACTGTGTGTTCAGGTGGGCAGAGACCCGGCGGTCCATGTGTGGGACATCCAGACTCTGAAGTGTCTGTCGCTGCTGAAGGGTCATCACAGCAGGGGTGTGTGTGCTCTGGAGTTCACAGGTACACACACACTGCTGCACACACACACTGCTACACACACACTGCTGCATACACTAATACACACACTGCTGCACACACTGCTGCACACACACTTGTTACCTTTTTACTAACGGTATCTCGGCACCGAAACCGTAGTTTCGGTTACACACCGGTGGTTTCTGACTTGGCTCGTTGTCAGCCGGTAACCAGCTGCCCAGACATTTCCAGGGGAAAAAGGATGCAAACGGGGCGTTCGGGTGCCGTGGGAAGAACCTCTGTTTATTCACGTTCTTCAGTCTAATCAGTTACATTGACACTGTATTGCATAGGCCTACATACAGACTAGTTACTTTTTCCTTTCTGACCACTTTCTCTATACTTTCGTCTCTCTCTTCATACCTCCGCACTTCGCCTTGGCCATCACATTTTACACACACACAGACTCCAAAACCCACAACCCCTTGCGGCTGCTACTCTTAAAGTGACAGGCTAACCCTAACCCCACTGCTGCACACACTGCTACACACACACTGCTAGCTACACACACACACTGCTACAGACACTGCTACACACACTGCTGCACATGTTAACTCCCCTCATGGTGTCCCAGCAGGCGTTCACAGGTGATGAATGTAACGCAGCAGGTGTTCACAGATATTGTCTGTTTCTGTCTCTCAGCGGACGGGAAGAGTTTGGTCTCGGTGGGAATTGATGAATTTCACTCCATCGTCATCTGGGACTGGAAGAAAGGAGAGAGACTAGCCAAGGCCAGGTACACATGTGCACATGTACACCTCTATACCTGTACACATATATACCTCTATACCTGTACAAATGTATACCTCTATACCTGTATACCTGTACACATGTACACATGTACACCTCTATACCTGTACACATGTATACCTCTATACCTGTACACCTGTACACCTCTATACCTGTACACCTCTATACCTGTACACATGTACACCTCTATACCTGTACACATGTATACCTCTATACCTGTACACCTGTACACCTATATACCTGTACACCTCTATACCTGTACACATGTACACCTCTATACCTGTACACCTGTATACCTCTATACCTGTACACCTCTACAGTGTTTCCCACAGATATGAAATATACTTGGGCGGGTGGGTGGCAAGGAGTGGGGGGGGGGGGGGTGCGCGAAAAAAAAAAAAAGTTTTAACAACATTATTTATTGACTTTTCATTCCGGTATAATCATTTTGCTCAAAGATGGCACTGTTTGTCAGAGCACTTCATCCTTCTGGGATTTCATGAAGAACAGCTCCAACGCCTGTGTGTATGGGAACGCCTCTGGTGCTGGACCATTAACTGCCAGTGTTTCCCACAGATCTGAAATATACTTTGGGGGGTGGTGGTAGCGGGGGGGGTTGAGGTGACGTGCAACAACATTAACCTTTCTGTTGGTCGCTTGTTAGCAGACCCTTCACGCGATGGCAGAGCGAACAGGTACAGGCAGGGCCTATAGTGACAGCCCTATAGTTTAAATCTACCACCCACACATGAACATATGGAAATGGGTTACTATTTAAAAAAATAAATGTATTTATTAATGTATTTAGGAACCTATCCATGTGATTTTTAGTGGGGGTCGACCTCAAATCCTCTAGGGGGGTCCAGGGGCATGCTCCCCCCGGCAAGATTTTATTTTTTATTTTGGAGTTAAATGCATCAATCTGGTGCATTTTGAGGGGAAATAAAGAGACTAGATCAATGGAAACACCTATATTAAACAGAACTGTATACATTTCAATAATCATAAAATCAAGGCCGTAACCAATAACATACCATTTCCAATATGAAAAAAACACTGAAACTTGTTAATTTATTTTTGGTTCATTTATAGTTGTGAGTGTGTCTGAGCTCCTGAATCAGCCTCTCCTGTCTCCCTCCTCTCCCCCCCCTCTCCCTCCTCTCCCCCCCTCCTCTTTGAGGCAGCAGCAAAGACTAGTTTTCTCTCAACAAGTTTTAAAAGTGTATCTTACCTTTTTTCACCTAGTTAACTTTTTATTTATTTATTCATGCATATTTTACTAATCACATTACATTTCATTTAGCTGACGCTTTTATCCAAAGCAACTTCTAATGACCGATTACAGGGACATTCTCCCTGGAGTAACTAAGGGCTAAGTGCCTTACTCAAGGGCACACTAGTGGTGGTGTTCCTGGCGGGATTTGAACTCACAGCCTTCCGATCTTCAGCCCACCTCACTCTCCATTAGACCAATCACTACCCTCTCAAATGGAAATATGTGTTTACATAAATGGTGACCACACCGTTTGAGACCCACTGAGAACTTAGACTAAGTGAACTATCTAAACACTCAGAGAGTCCTTTACCTCACCTGAGCTGAGGTTATCCCGAGCTTGAATGACACACAGAGACCAATCAAGGGCTTTGATTTATGATCTGTATGACAGTGGCCATGTCGGCATCATGTGGACAGCGAGTCACCCTGTGAGGCAGGCCACTTAACAGGCCAGAAGGAGGCGAGATCAGAGCAAGGGAGCGAGGGATCATTGTCTACAAGTTAATCGATCGCAGATGGCGTCGTGGTCACGGACGAATTAAAAAAAAAAAACATTAAAAAAAAAATGTATAAAAAAAAAAAAAAAAAAACTAAATGGGTCGCGAAATATACTTGGGCGGCCGTTAATATACCTGGGCGGCCCGCCCAAGTATAGTCTATGTGTGGGAAACCCTGCTCTATACCTCTATACCTGTACACCTCTATACCTGTACACCTCTATACCTCTATACCTGTGCACCTCTATACCTGTACACCTCTATACCTCTATACCTGTACACCTCTATACCTGTACACCTCTATACCTGTACACCTGTATACCTTTATACCTGTACACCTCTATACCTGTACACCTGTACACCTCTATACCTGTAAACCTCTATACTTGTACACCTCTATACCTGTACACCTCTATACCTGGGTTTCCGCTAGGATTTTTTCTTGCCGGCCTTTATAGAGAGCACTAATCAAACTATTAAGAGTGAATATCGGCACATAATGATCGGCGGCCAATCAATCGGAGCATCCCTAATTATTACCGGACATTTTGACCGGCAGGTTTTGAATTTATCAGTTTTTTATCAATTTGACCAGCTAGAAACCGGCAATTACCGACTAACGGAAACCCTGCTCTATACCTGTACACCTCTATACCTGCACACCTGTACACCTGTACACCTGTACACCTCTATACCTGTACACCTCTACACCTGTACACGTCTATACCTGTACACCTCTATACCTGCACACCTGTACACCTGTACACCTCTATACCTGTACACCTCTACACCTGTACACGTCTATACCTGTACACCTCTATACCTGTACACCTCTATACCTGTACACCTCTATACCTGTACACCTGTACAACTCTATACCTGTACACCTCTATACCTGTACACCTCTATACATGTACACCTGTACACCTCTATACATGTACACCTCTATACCTGTACACCTGTACACCTCTACACCTGTACACCTCTATACCTGTACACCTCTATACCTGTACACCTGTACACCTCTATACATGTACACCTCTATACCTGTACACCTCTACACCTGTACACGTCTATACCTGTACACCTCTATACCTGCACACCTGTACACCTGTACACCTCTATACCTGTACACCTCTACACCTGTACACGTGTACACGTCTATACCTGTACACCTCTATACCTGCACACCTGTACACCTGTACACCTCTATACCTGTACACCTCTACACCTGTACACGTCTATACCTGTACACCTCTATACCTGTACACCTCTATACCTGTACACCTCTATACCTGTACACCTGTACAACTCTATACCTGTACACCTCTATACCTGTACACCTCTATACATGTACACCTGTACACCTCTATACATGTACACCTCTATACCTGTACACCTGTACACCTCTACACCTGTACACCTCTATACCTGTACACCTCTATACCTGTACACCTGTACACCTCTATACATGTACACCTCTATACCTGTACACCTGTACACCTCTATACATGTACACCTCTATACCTGTACACATGTACACCTCTATACATGTACACCTCTATACCTGTACACCTCTATACCTGTACACCTCTACACCTGTACACCTCTACACCTGTACACCTCTACACCTCTATACCTGTACACCTGTACACCTCTATACCTGTATACCTGTACACCTCTATACCTGTACACCTCTATACCTGTACACCTGCACACCTCTATACCTTTACACCTCTATACCTGTACACCTCTATACCTGTACACCTGTACACCTATATACCTGTACACCTCTACACCTGTACACCTCTACACCTGTACACCTCTACACCTGTACACCTGTACACCTGTACACCTCTATACCTGTACACCTCTATACCTGTACACCTGTACAACTCTATACCTGTACACCTCTATACCTGTACACCTGTACAACTCTATACCTGTACACCTCTATACCTCTATACCTGTACGCCTCTACACCTGTACACCTCTATACCTGTACACCTCTATACCTCTATACCTGTACACCTCTACACCTGTACACCTCTATACCTGTACACCTCTCCACCTCTATACCTCTATACCTGTACACCTCTATACCTGTACACCTGTACACCTCTATACCTGTACACTTGTACAACTCTATACCTCTACACCTCTATACCTGTACACCTCTATACCTGTAAACCTATATACTTGTACACTTCTATGCCTGTACACCTCTATACCTCTACACATGTACACCTCTATACCTGTACACCTCTACACCTGTACACCTCTATACCTGTATACCTGTACACCTCTACACCTGTACACCTGTACAACTCTATACCTGTACACCTCTATACCTGTACAACTCTATACCTGTACACATGTACATCTGTACTCCTCTACACCTGTACACCTGTACACCTCTACACCTGTACTCCTCTACACCTGTACACCCGTACTCTTCTACACCTGTACACATGTACACCTGTATACCTGTACACCTGTACACATATACACCTGTACTCCTGTACACCTGTTATAGGTAATATAATGAGAGGGTAAGAGTGTTACCTCTGTGGTCTGCAGGGGTCACAAAGAGAAGACGTTCGTGGTGAGGAGCAACCCGTTCAGGATGGACAAGCTTGTGACGGTCGGCATAAAGCACATCAAGTTCTGGCAGCACTCAGGTACCCCCCCCCCCCCCCCCCCCCCCACTCACCTGAGTCTACCTGGGTTTGATCCATCAGCTGCAGTGCATACATCTTGCATTTTGCTAATTATTTTTAATATATCATATTCCATTTACTTGTTTCTAGACTCTTCTTGCACTATTTCTATTTTATTTGTATTAACTTGCACATCTCCAAACATTCTCTTGCACTATTTTATCTGTTTTATTTGTTTCATGTCCTATATATATATTCATGTTGCTCTGTTGGAGGAGGACTTCAGTTTTTCATTTCCATTTCTAGCTGCTGAGCTCCTGATGATAGAGACTTGAATCTTGAATCTTGAAACCAGTTATGTAGAACCTCTCAGTGTCGGATTCAGTGTTGTTCTGTGTCCTGAGTAACGCCTCCCGTCCTGCAGGGGGCGGCCTCACGTTTAAACGGGGGATCTTTGGGAACCTGGGGAAGCAGGAGACGATGATGTCGGCGTGTTACGGTCGATCGGAGGACCTGGTGTTCTCGGGAGCGACCAATGGAGACGTCTACATCTGGAGAGACACCACGCTCATCAAGACCATCAAAGCGCACGACGGGCCCGTGTTCGCCATGTGTTCCCTGGACAAGGTCACACTTAAATACGAATACAATTGTCAATACTTTGAGAGTAAAGACTCAGACTGAGGATAGAGTTAGATTATGTTTGACTCTCTACACTGAGAGCTGCAGCAGAGTTTAGACTTTATGACTGAACGCTGCTCGAGTCCTCATTAACACTAAGAAAGTGGATCAGTCCAGTTCTGAGGTCTTTACACTGGTCCCTCTCTGACACTAAGAAAGAGGATCAGTCCAGTTCTGAGGTCTTTACACTGGTTCCTCACTAACACTAAGAAAGTGGATCAGTCCAGTTCTGAAGTCTTTACACTGGTTCCTCACTAACACTAAGAAAGTGGATCAGTCCAGTTCTGAGGTCTTTACACTGGTTCCTCTCCAACACTAAGAAAGTGGATCAGTTCAGTTCTGAAGTCTTTACACTGGTTCCTCTCTGACACTAAGAAAGTGGATCAGTCCAGTTCTGAAGTATTTACACTGGTTCCTCACTAACACTAAGAAAGTGGATCAGTCCAGTTCTGAAGTCTTTATACTGGTTCCTCACTGACACTAAGAAAGAGGATCAGTCCAGTTCTGAAGTCTCTACACTGGTTCCTCACTAACACTAAGAAAGAGGATCAGTCCAGTTCTGAAGTCTTTACACTGGTTCCTCACTAACACTAAGAAAGTGGATCAGTCCAGTTCCGAGGTCTTTACACTGGTTCCTCTCTGACACTAAGAAAGTGGATCAGTTCAGTTCTGAAGTCTTTACACTGGTTCCTCTCTGACACTAAAAAAGTGGATCAGTCCAGTTCTGAAGTCTTTACACTGGTTCCTCACTGACACTAAGAAAGTGGATCAGTCCAGTTCTGAAGTCTTTACACTGGTTCCTCTCTGACACTAAGAAAGAGGATCAGTCCAGTTCTGAAGTATTTACACTGGTTCCTCACTGACACTAAGAAAGTGGATCAGTCCAGTTCTGAAGTATTTACACTGGTTCCTCACTGACACTAAGAAAGAGGATCAGTCCAGTTCTGAGGTCTTTACACTGGTTCCTCACTGACACTAAGAAAGTGGATCAGTCCAGTTCTGAAGTCTTTACACTGGTTCCTCTCCAACACTAAGAAAGTGGATCAGTCCAATTCTGAAGTCTTTACACTGGTTCCTCACTGACACTAAGAAAGTGGATCAGTCCAGTTCTGAAGTCTTTACACTGGTTCCTCTCCAACACTAAGAAAGTGGATCAGTTCAGTTCTGAAGTCTTTACGCTGGTTCCTCTCTGACACTAAGAAAGTGGATCAGTCCAGTTCTGAAGTCTTTACACTGGTTCCTCACTGACACTAAGAAAGAGGATCAGTCCAGTTCTGAAGTATTTTCACTGGTTCCTCTCTGACACTAAGAAAGTGGATCAGTCCAGTTCTGAAGTCTTTACACTGGTTCCTCTCTGACACTAAGAAAGAGGATCAGTCCAGTTCTGAGGTCTTTACACTGGTTCCTCACTGACACTAAGAAAGAGGATCAGTCCAGTTCTGAGGTCTTTACACTGGTTCCTCACTGACACTAAGAAAGAGGATCAGTCCAGTTCTGAAGTCTTTACACTGGTTCCTCTCTAACACTAAGAAAGAGGATCAGTCCAGTTATGAGGTATTTACACTGGTTCCTCTCTAACACTAAGAAAGAGGATCAGTCCAGTTCTGAGGTCTTTACACTGGTTCCTCTCTGACACTAAGAAAGTGGATCAGTCCAGTTCTGAGGTCTTTACACTGGTTCCTCTCTGACACTAAGAAAGTGGATCAGTCCAGTTCTGAGGTCTTTACACTGGTTTCTCTCTAACATTAAGAAAGAGGATCAGTCCAGTTCTGAGGTCTTTACACTGGTTCCTCTCTAACACTAAGAAAGAGGATCAGTCCAGTTCTGAGGTCTTTACACTGGTTCCTCTCTGACACTAAGAAAGTGGATCAGTCCAGTTCTGAGGTCTTTACACTGGTTCCTCTCTAACACTAATAAAGTGGATCAGTCCAGTTCTGAGGTCTTTACACTGGTTCCTCACTGATACTAAGAAAGTGGATCAGTCCAGTTCTGAGGTCTTTACACTGGTTCCTCTCTAACATTAAGAAAGAGGATCAGTCCAGTTTTGAAGTCTTTACACTGGTTCCTCTCTGACACTAAGAAAGATGATCAGTCCAGTTCTGAGGTCTTTACACTGGTTCCTCACTGACACTAAGAAAGAGGATCAGTCCAGTTCTGAAGTCTTTACACTGGTTCCTCACTGACACTAAGAAAGAGGATCAGTCCAGTTCTGAAGTCTTTATACTGGTTCCTCACCAACACTAAGAAAGAGGATCAGTCCAGTTCTGAAGTCTTTACACTGGTTCCTCACTGACACTAAGAAAGAGGATCAGTCCAGTTCTGAAGTCTTTATACTGGTTCCTCACCAACACTAAGAAAGAGGATCAGTCCAGTTCTGAAGTCTTTACACTGGTTCCTGTGTGTCAACGAATTTCTAAATACTACTGCTGGTTTATAAAGCATTGAATGGTTTGGGCCCAAAATACATTTCTGACCAACTGCTAAATGATGAACCATCCAGAACTCTCAGGTCTTCTGGTCTGCTCCCTGTCTCCAGAGTCAGGTTTTCAGGTCTTCAGGTCTGCTCTCTGTCTCCAGAATAAGGTCTCAGGTCTTCAGGTCTGCTCTGTCTCCGTCAGGTTTTCAGGTCTCAGGTCAGGTCTTCAGGTCTCTCTCTGTCCCCAGAGTCAGATCCCTCAGATCTTCAGGTCTGCTCTCTGTCCCCAGAGTCAGATCTCTCAGGTTCTGGTCTGCTCTCTGTCCCAGAGTCAGATCTCTCAGGTCTTCAGGTCTGCTCTCTGTCCCCAGAGTCAGATCTCTCAGGTCTTCTGGTCTGCTCTCTGTCCCCAGAGTCAGATCTCTCAGGTCTTCTGGTCTGCTCTCTGTCCCCAGAGTCAGATCTCTCAGGTCTTCAGGTCTGCTCTCTGTCCCCAGAGTCAGATCTCTCAGGTCTTCTGGTCTGCTCTCTGTCCCCAGAGTCAGATCTCTCAGGTCTTCAGGTCTGCTCTCTGTCCCCAGAGTCAGATCTCTCAGGTCTTCTGGTCTGCTCTCTGTCCCCAGAGTCAGATCTAAACCTGGAGAAGTTCAGTTGTTATGCTCCAAACATCTGGAACAAACTCCCAGAAACCTGCAGGTCCTCTGCAACGAAGACTACTTTTAGATCCAGCAAGAAGACTTTTAATTTCCTTTAATTGAACTATTCATATCTCACACTGCACTGTAACTTTTATTCATGTACCTGTTATTCATGTTTTATTATCTTTGCTTTTAAATTAGTGTTTTAAAATGCCATTTAATAATATGTTTCTCAAGGCTCTTAATGTCTTTCATTTTTGTAAAGCACTTTGAATTGCCTTGTGTTGAACGGTGCTGTATGAATAAACTTTATTTCTGCCTCTGTTTTTGTTTCCGGTCTCGTGGTGCGTTCACTGTCCAGGGCTTTGTGACGGGGGGGAAGGACGGCATCGTGGAGCTGTGGGACGACATGTTCGAGAGATGTCTGAAGACGTACGCCATCAAGAGGGCCGCGCTGTCCCCCGCCTCCAAAGGTCTCAGAGAGGTCTTATTTAACAGGGACAGTGCACATTAATCATAATTTCTGTCAATGTGCCAAGAGGCTCTTTTTCATCTGTAGTTCCTGGACAGATGTTATAAGTCAACCTACAACAAATGTCATTTTAAACAAGTAAATACAGTCAAATAAAAACTGAACTAAGTAAGAACATGTTAAAACACAGTGTAAGAGTCGGTGAGGGCTGATAATTTATTCCGGGAAATGACTCTGACCTACTAATTGACCTTTCCGAAGATATTGAGTCTCTGTAAGTTTACTGCTTGGCTCAGATCCACCAACGTCAGCAAGATCTCACCTCTATTAACTCCTGAAGAACCAGGTTCAATGAACTGCTGTTTCAATTCAGACAACTCTTTTAAATCTGTTGAAGCGATCCTGAAGGATTTTGATATCAGTAAATGGAGTGTGCTCCTACCTAAGTGTGAGTGTGGCATGGTGCAGTCTCACCTTTGAAGCAGGAGAGGAGAGCACAGATGTCTTGTTGTCCCAGTCCAAAAGGTGGGATCAGTTTATTTGAAGAAAAATAGGTCCAAACTAATACAGGGTTTTTACCTTCTCTCTTTACAACATTATAATCATACTAAACCTATCATGCTGTGATCATGTTCTAATATGAAACTTTAATTCACAGTTTTACATTTATTACCATAATTTTTAACTTCAACTGCCCAATTCAGTTTGTGATTTTTAAAATCTCCCGATAGAATTTAGAGGCATTTCCTCATAAAAGACCGGTGATAATAAAAAGCACATTCAACCTTTCATTCACCAAATCAATTCATTTTCTCATTTCGACATTCGTATACTTCAACTAGTCCCGCATGAATTCGGAGGGCCTTTCCTCACAGGTCGCAGGGTACTAACATTCAACAAACATCAATTCATTGCACTCATTTCACAAAGTAATTCACTCAGCATTCAACCAAGAAATGTTGAGAGATATTGACCAAGTCTGAGAGAACCTTACCGAGAGCTATTAACCCAGCTCTGAGGGACAGCGCTTTTACCGGGAGAGAGTATACCAGGGGAACCCCCCCCCCCCCCCCCCCTCTCTCTCTCTCTCTCTCCGCCAGTATCTTTATGCTCAAAAACCGGATGGAAAACCCCCAAAACACCTCCTCCACACCCATATTTGTGGAAAACTGGGCATGGCCTCTGATGTACAGGACTGGACATGACCAGACATATTCTATTGGCTATGGCATAAGACACACCTTCCCATGTTTGTGTAAAAAGTAGGGCCGGGACTTTAACGCGTTAATTAAGATTAATTAATTACACAAAAATTAACGCGTTAAAAAAATTAACGCATTTTTAATCGCACTTATTTTTGCACCGCGGAACGTTTCTCACTGGATGAGTTTCAGGCGTACCGATTATACTGGAGCACCAACTAACGTTCATGACTTCAGACAACAACAAACCACAGTGAACAACAGTGGGAAATGTTGTTTTAAAAACGGACGGATGGAAGCGTCGATAAGAGCACGGTTGTGTGCAAATTATGCAAAAAGGAATTCGCATATCACCGCAGCACATCAAGCCTCAAGTATCACCTCAATGCAAAAACATATAGCAGCTAGCGTGGAAGCTAGTGTGGACGTTAGCCTCTTTTATCGCGTTCACACCAAAAAGAGCCGGTACTAAAATTAGTTCATGAGAACCTTTTTACCCCCACGAAAGTCCCTGCTAGAGAGCAGAGAGCTGCTAGAGAGCAGGGACTTTCGTACGGCTCTCTTGTCAGAAAAGAGCTATATGTCTGATTGGCTGGGCGGATTGCAAACCACGCCCCGTAAAACTCCCAAAAAGTTTTGTGAAGCCGCCATTTTATTATCCTCGCATTAGCATTATTAGCATTAGCCCAGCGCAGAAACGCAGAGAGACTAACTTATGGCAACACAAAATAAAACATGGGAGCGGTGGAGATGAGGAGGTGTCGGCGTTCTGGCGATTTACTCGGAAGGCTGCTGGGACTCCCAGCAGCTTCTACTGAAGCCAGTCCCCAACTCCGGGGACTTCCGGCCGGGGACTTTGGGCGGCAGTATACGCCGTGAAGTGGTTTGCGGCCTGCCAGTAAACCCAAAGCAGAAGAAGAAGAAGTGACGTCAGCGGCTTCATTTGCCTAATCCACCCCCAGGTTCAAAGATTTCTCATGAACTAAATTCTCATGAACCTTTGTGGGAAAAAAACTGCGGTGTGAATGCGCCTAATCGTATACTAAAATCCATGTGAAAAAAATTGCTTCTCACTGTTCTCAGGTCAAATATTTATATGTGATTAAAAATGCGATTAATTTAGATTAATTAATTACAAAGCCTCTAATTAATTAGATTAATTTTTTTAATAGAGTCCCGGCCCTAGTAAAAAGGACATGACCCCTACTCTGCAGGACTTGCAAAATATTATTCTCGGCTATGACATAACTACCTTTTTGAGACCTCAATGTATTTCTCCTTAAGTCCGGAGCTCCCTCCCTGTGAGTGAAGAGGGAAGAAACTGCCTTCTCCCTTATCAGTGACACCCATAAATCATTATAGGCCTTACACTCAACTTAACAAACCACTTGGTTTATACTGTAAATATAGAAAAACATAACATATGAAACATTTTCATTGTGAGTTATACAAGAATATAATTGATTATACTTGATTATAATTAACTTTCGTTTTAAGTATTCAACATACTATGAAGATCTCAACAACAGGCATTGCCTATACTACTCATCCAGTTTCCCCCCAGAGTATAACATATATAATGTGTGTGTTGTGAAGATAAACTTCTGTTGTTGCAATGTTGAGGTAGAATGAAGGTGTCTGGAACGTCGTTAGCCAAAGCACTGAGAGTTTATTGAACACAATACAAACAAATACGGCCGGGGAGATCACTTAGTTTCACACTGTCCTGTGGTCCACCAAAATCATCTCTGCCCCCGAATAGCCCCAACACGCAGCAACATGAGGAGAGGCGGGCCCACAGAAGCCCGCGTTTACCTAATCAATAGCAGATGGGAGACAATAATCTACTTGTCTTAAGGAAATGCAGACAGGCCTGAAACCTTCCCCCCACGGATATAGGAGAAGCGTTTGACCTGTGACCTCAACCTACAGAGGAGTCTTTGACTGATACTTACAAACAGATGTTTGCAGTATCACAGATTCTAAGAAACTATAAGAAACTCTATAATCAAGATCAGATTAAAATATTCTCTTACAGATTCACTCTTTTTATCAATCTATTGATAACCAATTAACATTAGTCTAAGAATATTTCAGTCAATACTTAAATCAATAAGCGTCTTCAGAGTTGTGTGGGCTCACTCCCATTAATTACATCAAAAGTAAACAGAATTGAAAACACTTCAATCACCATGATTGAACACAGTCAATCATAATAAAAATCATCTCTCTTCAGTGCTTGGCATCTTTTGTCAAAAGGCACAATAATAAACACATGGGATACAAAATATTATAGCAAAATATATGTTTCAAAAATAAGATCTTTTATCATTTATCATTCAGTTAATCTCATTCATCAAACACAAATTCTAAATCAGCTTACATCTCAAAGATTTACTTTAAGGCAATTACTTATTAAAAACACAATTAGAATTTAGGATTATGAGAAATCCAATTGAGGTATAAATCAGAATCATGAGAGATCCAGCTAAGGTTCCTAGTTAAGGTATAAATTCACAGTGATGAATCGATCAATCTGTAATCTGTAAAGTTACAGTGTCCTCAATCTTTAACATTACTTTACGTTTACTTCATTACGCTTTATTCAAGAGTAAGGCACTTAGTGATACATTTATTTCATTCAAATACATTTGTTCAAAATCTGAAAAGGAAAAATCAGACATTTTATTTGTATAACAACCTGAATAGGAAAAATCAGACATTTGTCCTTTAATCCAGTGTATCAACTGTAATCAATTATCAAAACCTCTGTTCTTTATTCAGAATATCAACTTTAAACAACATCTCAATCGCTGAATGGAGGTACCCACGGGTCAGAGATCACGATGGAGACCCAGGGATCCGGAAGCTCGGCATTGTACATTAATATTGTGTCCTTTACAGTCGAATGCCCAACTAGTCTTTGTGGGGCCTGGAGGGCAGTCTTGGCAACCCTTCGTATGGCTAATTTAACTACAGTGATCAAACAGATCACTAGGATTAGCACAACCAAGATAAACACTGAAACAGTAACAACAAATTTAACCAACCCCGCTCCCCAAGATCCAAAGTTTCCACTTAATTCCCCAAATGTAAACCCATGAGTTTCATGCAATTCTTTTATTCCCCTGGCAGTATCATGAGCCATGTCCATAACTTCAGGTGTGGCATCAGAAATAAAAGAACAGCACTCAGATCCTATCACCTTGCATGTTCCTCCTTGGGCAGCTAAGAGGAGGTCAAGCGCCATACGATTCTGTAGTGCTACTGTCCTAACTTCCTGCAATTCTTTGTGTTCAGCTAACATCGCTGTGTTGGATACATTTAGATGGTGTTCTACCACTTTTGAAAGGACCACAATTTCCTGCTGAGTAACATAAATACCGTACCAAGGCAAGAATAGGTTAGCTATCTTTTGTCCTTGTGTAATTGACCTGCTGTTCCTGTGTAGAGAGGGAAGAATCGCTGTGATCTCCTTAGCCTCTACTTTACGGATTAAAGGGATTAGGTAGGCTAGATAACAGGTACCATAAAAAACGTCATATGGCACACAGCCATAGGCCCGGTCCCCACAAACTAAGTAAACTCTCTGTGGGAGGGGAATTCTGGCTAAATTTACTCTCACTATGGCGTTACAGTCGCTGTGTCCCACATCAGGAGAGGTGTGAGATCCTACTGCATTCTGGAAGCAGATGGACACATTCTTCCATTCATGCACAACAATTGGGGGAACATATACTGAGCAGTCACGTGTAGGGGGCTTGCCTAAGGGTATTGGCTGCGTACAGTCATGTATTTT